TCCCCTGAAGACGATTGGGCAATTGTGCATCAAATTATTGTCCCAAAATCATATCATAAGGAAATCTTGAGTCTAGCTCATGACTCGCCTATGGCAGGTCATTTAGGAGTAACTAAAACATACCATAAAATACTCAACCATTTCTATTGGCCCGAATTAAAACAAGATGTCCAAGAGTATTGTAGGTCTTGTCATACATGTCAAATGGTAGGGAAACCTAACCAGAAAATCTCAATTGCTCCTTTACAACTTATACCTGCATTTGATGAACCATTTAGTAAGGTTCTTATTGACTGTGTTGGTCCATTACCAAAAACAAAATCTGATAGTCAATATCTGCTCACTATTCTATCTATGACCACACAGTTTCCAACAATAAAATCACTCCTCATGCTTAGAAATAGCAAAACCAAGTATATTGTGAAATCACAAATCAACAATTTCACATTAGTTGGGCTACCAAAGGAGCTTATATCTGACTTACAATCTGACTCAGTGCTGAATGATTTCATTGGCATTGATAAAACTACCCCTGTGAGGTGTAGAGAGCTACACATGATGAAAAAGTATGTTGAGCGTGATAAATTTCTTTACTCAACATGAGCTTGTGCTCTTAGCTCATAGGCCAAACTTGTATGTCAATGACAACTATACATGTATGTTATTCAAGAGTCAGATATTGTAAATTATAATGATTAACTCATGAAGATTATATTATATGGTAGGCAAATTAGAGATTTGTGATAACTGTCACTTTATTTTAACAATGTATAAAAACATTTGCCTAAATAGTGAAATTGATATTATATGAACTACAAGAATGTTTCTAGATTATGTGAGCATTATAGGTAATCTTTAAATAGTGTCACAAGATTACTTGATAACATCAGAGTGTACTATTAGAAATACTTACATAAGATCATGTGATAATTTAAAACATTATACTAGTTTAGTGTTTGTCAGACTCAAAAATGTATGCTATTGTACATGTTATATGATCTATTGCAAGTATTGTATTTATGACTTAATGCATAACTTATGTAGATATTATTGTAGTATGGGATTATAAGAACATTATATGTTATTAGATTGTACTCACACTGTAACGATAGAAAGTATTATATACTTGTAAACATACTGCATATAAAAAGACTATTGTAAACAAATATTATGTAAGTCTCAACCTCACTTTTAGAAATTGTAACGCTCGCTACTCAAGATATTATTGTAAAAGTTTTTCATTGCATTCAAAACTTTTCTTTTAAGGAGGGAGGTGTTACAGTAGTGAGCTACATGTATATTATATTCTACTATATTCACCTATAGTTTAATTTGAAATCTATGCTTGCTGTATATGTTGAGCTATTCTTTATTCGAGATCTTAGGTCAAGGTCACAATGACACTATATCTTGTAAACAAAACTGAACTGAATGACTCATTAACTCTTGACCTTCTAGAATATTCGGAAACTAGTAAACATTTAATCAGATTGAATCATGTCACTAAAGATGTCCAATCAAGATGTAGTTCCAGAAGATTCATTTCTGGATAATTCTTTCACATTATAAAAGGAACTGCACAGTGGCTCTCATCAGCAGATAATTAAGTCATCATAACTGGACATCTCAAAGGAACTAAATAAAGCAGAATTTCAAAGTCTATCAAAAGGACATCTTCTTAGCGGAATATTACAGACACCTACTGTGGGAACATTTTAACACTACAAACACACAACCTGAGGACTTTATATGGACATATATTACAAAACACACACTATATACGGATTATCATATACATTCGTGGATTATCATAAACATTTGTGGATTATCATCAAACATTATTGGATACGAACATTATAGGATTACGACGAACATTATTGAATTATTACAAACATTGGAGAACTATTAACGATTATTGAAACTTTCGTGATCTGGAACATTCTCAAGGATCGTCAAGGATATTTATCGACATCAAGAATAAGCCGTATCATTGATTGGACATCACTTAAGTATTAAACCTCCTTTATATTATTGTTGTATTATTTAGTTTTCAAAATATAAATATATTGTTATCATATTTTAATTGCTGTTTTTACTTTCTGTTATTTTCGAACGTAACATATGGTGTTGATATACTTTTGGGTACATTTTTTTGAGACACCCTATATATGAATGTTTCTAAATTGGAATACGTTTTCTTTGTCCCAACTTTAATAACTCCCATTGATTTACATATAAAGAAACCTTAAAATGTGAACACCTGCTAATCTGAACACTTTTGACTATGAATCCCAGTGGCATTCAGATTTAATACGTTTAACTATAGTTTTTCCATTGAGGTGTTCAGATTAGAGGTTTTCATATATACAGGTTTTACAGTATATTGTATCATCCAATCAATCATTCTGATCCCCTACTGTAAAGTACAGGTAAGTAGGGGATCAGAGGATGAAAATTGTACTCATCAATTAGGTCAATAACAGAACTAATTTCAAGAACAAAACATACAGTGATAAATATAGTCTTATATAGGCCATAACCTAATGAGAAATTGCCTTTGAAAAAAGTGAGATCAAAAGTAGATTATAGTAGCAGTAAAATAGTTTAAGGTTATATACTCATTTCAAGAACAACACATACAGTGATAAATAGTCTTCTTTCAAGATACTGGTCCCTCAGCTATCTACCTCAATAACATGCTGCTGTTGAAGTATGGGGGAAGGGGGATGGGGATCTTGAAACAAGACTATGATTTACATTGCATTTTCTATTCAAATATTAAAAAATTGAAAAAAATTGAGCAAGTAATTTACCCAGCATCCATAATCTAATGAGACATTGACTTTGAAAAATTGAGATGAAAAGTAGGTTGTATACTTGTTTTTTTTTTGCTATTGCTATTTTGAAATTGTCTTCTTTAATTCTGGTTTAGTATTGCTGTTTTAAATTGGGCTAATAGCAGAAAAATTCTCAACCTCAATATAGTATTTCTAATTCCATCATAATGATATGTATCTTACACTTCTCAGTTGAGCCATGGGCTTTCAACTAATTAAAAGCCCATGGTTGAGTGCAAAATTCTCATTTTCACAATTCAGACAAAAATAGGTTATGATTTTTCTCATTTTCAGGTGGGTGTTAGCCTATTTTCAAAATCTCAGGTGGGTGCTGTGCCCACTTGCTTTAATGCTGTGGAGATCACAGCTTAGATAGAAATAGTAGTGGGATAAAAAGGTTCATTCATCATTATGGTATACTGACATTATATTTATATTTTACAGTCTAAAAACCGCATATCAAATAGAACAAATGTTTTTTACAATATCATTAATCAGCAGATAAATCATGTCTTTGAAGCGCTTTATAGCGTTATGCACATCAAACACCTCTGTCATTTTGGTAATGTTACTTTCCTAAATGTCAATACACTTAAAGTTCACAGTTACTGTATTTCTATTAGGGTATTGTACGCCATATCTCTATTATTGTATTCAACAATGAATCCAAAGTGGTTCTTTATTAGATTAAAAATCTCCTCTCATTTCACATAAATATCTCTCATTATTATATTCAAGAACAAAAATACTGTATATGAGGTTCCTAAGAAAATATTCTCGGTTTGGAGAACAGTCTCCTGGGCTGATAATTTTTTCATGAAAAATATAGAAATATTACCCAAATTAAACTATGAATATTCAAAAGAGGACATTTAAATCTACAAGATGTAAAAATAACAAATTGGTCTGAAGCAGGGATAGGGCTCAATTAGACCGATTCAATAAAATACAAGTCTCGATTTGGGGAAAGAAGTTCATTAGTATACGCTAACATTTTTTTGCGAAAAATCTAGAAATAGTACCCAATTGAAATTATGACTATCCAAAAGAAAACATTCAAATCTATATTATGTAAAAAAATCAAATTTGTCCGAAGCAGGGATAATGCTCATTTAGATTGATGAACTTCGTTCTCCAAACCGAGGATCTTCCTTTGAGCCCTTTTGGCAGGGGGAGTTCACTTTTCAAAAAATTCCAGGAGGGTTTAAGGTTGACAACTTTGTTGATAACAACTTAAAAAGTGCTCAGAATGGTAAAAACTTATTCATTGTGAAACAATTTTCGTCCAGGGGGGTCTTCGCCTGAGCCCTCTAAAAAACCCACCCTGGCTACGGGCCTGCAATCACAATTTATGGACTATATCCAGCTAGAATATAAATCTTACAATCATCTTTCATTCTATCTAGACTTCAACACCAACTCCAATTCCAAATAAAGATGAAGATTTATGTATCTCCAATCTTTGATTAATAACACCATTTAAGGTAGGATTTTCAGGGTGCATATAAATTGGTTGATTAGCTTACTACAATCATGCCATAGTAGGAAGGTTGCGCTTCATGTTGACTAGAGAATGTGTAAATAAAACTATAGAGTTATGGTCTTCTAGGTCTGCTATTCCCTTGTCATATTAATAAGCCCAATTGAGTATAAAGGTAAAAGTCATATACTTGTATAATCCTAGTCTATCTACAAGCCCTTGTGCCTCCCCCCTTCACACCTCCCTACAAGTGGGTTGTTGCATACTCAAATGGTGAGAGGACGGGAGGGGGGATCACAGGGGCTTGTAACTAAACTAATAAGATATATAATCCTAGTCTAGCTACAAGCCCTCGTGTACCCCCACTCCCTACATACCTCCCTACAAGTGGGTGGGTGCATACTCAAATGGTGAGAGGAGGGGGGGGGTTGGGCACAGGGGGTTGTAGCTAAACTAATAAGATATATAATCCTAGTCTAGCTACAAGCCCTTGTGTGCCCCCACTCCCTACATACCTCCCTACAAGTGGGTGGGTACGTACTCAAGTAGTGAGAGGACGGGGGATCACATGGGCTTGTAACTAAACTAATAAGATCTTTTAAATTGAGAGGGGAAAAAGTGTTCAGATATAAAGAGGTGTTTAGATATACTGGTTTTACTGAATTTTTCTTCAATGTACTTACTTGATCTTTGGTTCTTGACAAAATAAAGTTGTAGCCTTTGTTTCAGTGACTTCTCATTCGTGAAGAACTCTATCTGCACTCTGGAAATAAATCAACATGTCAATTAGGGTTTTTATTCATTGATCAACATGTTAATTGTTCTATCAACAGGTTAATCTTTTTATCAATGTGTTAATTTTTTATTATCAGGTTTTATTAACATGTTACATTTTTTTCATTGAGAGGATATTCTACCAACGGTTTGTTTTTTATCAACAGATTATTTTTCATCTATCTACATGTTATTTTTTCATCAACAAATTAATTTGCACTACTATCTCATTCCAATTTATCAGAGTCTCTCTTAACCGTTTCAAGACGATAGGCTCCATATGGAGCCCTATTACATAATACCTGTAGGACGATAGGACCTTTTAGCACCACTATTTTTATTTACATACATCAATGAAATGGCAATATCTCCAGTTCTTATCATTATTTTTACACCAAATGTTGACAAGTTGTTGACGTTTGATAATGTTTATTAATAATTGTATTATAGTGATACAATTTAAAGTATAAGTCCCAGAGTATGCATCATTTTCATTGTTTACCTAAAAACTGCTCTTACTTATCTGTCATCGGGCCAATATTTTCCTCTTGTATTCATGTTAATCTATGTTCAACTGAAAACTTTATTTTCCTACTGTACAATTCAACAGTTTGAGAGAGACACTTTGGGACAATTACTGCCTGTTGAATTCCAGACCCAGCAATACGGGGGGGGGGGGGGGGGGGGGGGGGCTCTAACAAACCTTTGAATCGTGCATTAAGTTGGAATGGACATGAATTGAAACAGGACTTTTTGGAAAACTAGGGGCAGGGGCAGATCTGGGAACGAACAAGGGGGGGGGAGGGGCAAATTTCAGGTCTGAGAAAAAAAACTTTGGAATTTTGAGGCCCATTTTCTTCAAAATTTTGCCTAAAATGCAGGGGGTACTACTAAACAGATATTTAATTTAATATGGCCTTAAAGCCATGTGCAGGGATAGAATCTTTAGGGTTATATTTGGGAAATCTAGAAGGTACTACTAACCAAATGTTTAATTCAATATGGTCTTAGGACCCCTCTGTAGAATAGAATCTTCATGATAATTTTTCAGGAAAACCTAGAAGGTACTACTAACCAAATGTTTCATTCAATATGGCCTTAGCCAACACTCTGTAGAGATCTTTAAGGTTATATTTGGGAAACCTAGAATATACTACTAATTTAATGTTTAATTTAATATGGCCTCGGAGCCATCTGTAGAAATAGAATTAATTTTTGGGAAAAGCCAGAAGGTATTACTAACCGAATGTTTAATTTAATATGGCATTAGCTTTAGAGCAATCTGTAGAGATCTTTAAGATTATTTTTGGGAAACCTAAAGTATACTACTAACCGAGTGTTTAATTTAATATGGCCTTAGAGCCATCTGTGAAAATGGAATCTTTATAAGCTAAGATAAATTGGTTCATTTGCCAAATTAAGTTCTTGCGCTTGAATCATGAACAGAGATTTCCTTGGGAAAATATTTCCACTAATTATTTGCCAGGGATTATAGAAATCAAAATTCTTAGGATCTTCCACAAAAGTAAAAGCATGGGACATTGATGTGTCTGGAATATTTATTTACATTTATTTTGGGGATGATGTATTTTGGAAAAACTGGTCTGGTTTTTAAAAAAAAGAAAGTTATCACCACCTTGTGAGACTTGTTCTCTGGATAGCATAAAATTACACACATTTCTTACTTTATTAAGCATGAAAAGCTCAGTCAACCTCAGAAGTAGCCCATTAAAGCCCGGCCATAAACCCACTTAAGCCCATAAACCATTTTTATAGAATCTAAGCATGAAAAGCTCAGTCAACCTCAGAAGTAGCCCATCAAAGCCCAGCCATAAACCCTTAAAAGCCCATAAACCATTTTCATAGAATCTAAGCATGAAAAGCTCAGTCAACCTCAAAAATGGCCCATTAAGGCCCATAAACCCACTAAAGCCCATAAACCCTTTTCATATAGTCTAAGCATGAAAAGCTCAGTCAACCTCAGAAGTAGCCCATCAAAGCCCATGAACCATTATTTATAGTCCGAAGCATAATAAAGCTGATAAAAGTAGAGATGATTTGTTTGTTGTTAAGATAAAAAGAGTGAATGATTTATAGTCAAACAGCAAATGAATGCACCTGATCCAATCAAATATATTTCCATGGTAACAATGGTACATGGTACACACAGCGGGAACAAATTGCTTCAATACGAAAGTATTTAACAAAAAGCTTCTAACAAAGGATTTAGTGCCTGTGTAACAGCTAAACAATCAAAAACCAATTTTAGATGCTGTGGAGCGCTAACCAGGTTGCATCATGCGTTCCCAGGATCTGTTGTTTTCTTCACTTGGCTGGCAAATCTTATTATTTTGTCTGTTAAAAGGCACTCTGATTCTGTAGTGCATCTTAAGCTAATGCTAAAAAAGTAAACTCCAGGTATTCAGACCTATATTCAGCCAAAGAGGGGGGTATTCAGGAATCTCACCACTCTGGGTGGTCAAGTAGTTAAATTAAAAATTTAATCTACATACCCAAGTATCTAACTTTATCACTGGAATCAATAAATTAAAATACATAGTAAAAATTCTGATCTGATTGCCAGGAATATAAATTTCAAGAGTCCTACTCCTGCAATGAGATGTAATATCTAAATCTCACCCCTTCCCCCTCCCTGGGACATTAGTACATTTCAATTTCCAGACTACATTATAGAGGTCTCATGGGTAGCAAACCTTTGAAATCTTGCATTAAAAAATATCACACTTGCGTTGCCTGATTTTTGTATTATCACATATGTACTATCACTTATGTATTATCACTTATGTATTATCACTTATGTATTATCACTTGTGGTAGTGATAAGTGAGAGACAATGGATGACACCTCTCCATTTCAGTTATTTGACTGTAAGGATATTAATTGCATTCTAAACGCTATTAACAGATAATTAACACTGTCTATATAAAATATTCCAATTTTAGCCTACCAGGGTGATTAAAGCTGATATTCAAGAAGAAAATGATATACCAATGACTATAAAATTTTCTCTCCAGAATTTTGTAGTCTCTGAAAATCAGGAGAACTTTGAAGAAATTGTTAACTTATATGTGAAGCAACTTACTAATAATGATCTATTATATAGAAATACAATGAACATTGATTATTACAAACTAAAATGCCACCATATAATAACTACAATACTACATTACATAGAGACAATTAGAGACCCACCCATGTAATACCCTAGAATATATTCTCAGAATCATATGCAGAATTTGAATTTTATCATCAACATAAATCACTAGCCAGAATTTTGAATATCTAATTGTTCATAAGTTGTTTATTTTCAAATGGGTGCTAAAAGGTCTTCAACTGGGTGAAGGGCAGGTGAAAAATTATCAACAAGATGAAGCACCTTGATTATTTCAAGACTAGGTATTGCCTGGTAGATCATTGAATAGAGATAGATATCATATATCACTGACAAATGATCATAAGACTAATTACAGTATATACCCTTTTAAAGCATGAGAGTTTAACTTCAACAATCCTCTTAAAATGAGGATAGTTTTTTTGGAGCTAAAGCTAATTGAAGAAAGGTGGATATATATCACACATCATGCGACTAATTACAGTATATACCCTTTTAAGCACAAGAGTTCAACTTCAACAATCCTCTTAAAATGAGGATAATTTTTTGAGTTGGACTTCAATCACAAATCAAACCCTTTGTGAGAAAATACTTTCAGTGACACTCTTAATTCAAGTAAATTATTTTAGCTTAATCATACTAATGTGTTTCTTACATTCTAACTCATATGATAATTGGCATTAAAAATACATTTTGGACAATTAAGATCTGATCAACATCAATATGGGTCTGTAAATCAAGAGGAGTGGTCGATAAAAATATTTGGTCAAACTCTGAAAAATTGGCCACTTTGTAAGGCCAAAGTGGACAAAGGCCAGTTTGTTACCAAAATTACCCTGTTTATGTTGAGAAAAGCAGATTTTAGGCCATAAATTATTTTTGAGCCTCAATTTTTTTGGTGCCAAGGAAGGGAGCCCTAGTAACACCCCCCCCCCCCTCCTAGTTATACTCAGAGGGTAGTACATAGGCTAAAAGATGGATTAAGGGTAACTATAATGAAATTGCAAAACAATAACCTTTCCCTTACAGAACACTCTAACCTCTGAAATATTAACCATGTTAATAAGTGAGCAGATCAAACTGAATATTTGATGAGCATTGGGTTGAACAAGGCAAATGTCTAAAATATCAAACGAGGTGCTCACATAACATTTGTTTAGTCTGAGATTGCTTTCAAGGTTCTTCTTTCCCTATTCCTTACTTTTTTTTCCAAAATGCAACCTTTTACATTATGCAACCTTTTACATTCATAATGCAACCTTTTACATAAGGCAACCTTATATATTATGCAACCAATTATATAAGGCAACCTTTTACATTATGCAACCAATTACATAAGGCAACCTTTTATATTACGCAACCAATTACATAAGGCAACCTTTAACATTATGCAACCAATTACATAAGGCAACCTTTTATATTACGCAACCAATTACATAAGGCAACCTTTAACATTATGCAACCAATTACATAAGGCAACCTTTTATATTATGTAACCAATTACATAAGGCAACCTTTAACATCATGCAACCAATTACATAAGGCAACCTTTAACATTATGCAACCAATTACATAAGGCAACCTTTTATATTATGCAACCAATTACATAAGGCAACCACTTATATTATGCAACCAATTACATAAGGCAACCTTTAACATTATGCAACCAATTACATAAGGCAACCTTTTATATTATGCAACCTTTTACATAAGGCAACCTTTTATATTATGCAACCAATTACATAAGGCAACCTTTTACATTATGCAACCTTTTACATAAGGCAACCTTTTATATTATGCAACCAATTACATAATGCAACCTATTGAAATATGTCAGTAGAACACCTTTTGTACTT